CACTCGCCGTGATAATTTATATCGGTGTTTTTGGAAAGAAAATGCCCTAAAGACGCTCAACTTTTTGAGCGCCACTTGTCGTTCGGGACCGCGATACTCAATAAATTGAGCGCCACGACAGACGACAGTCAGCTGGCGCTAAAAAAATTGAGTGCCGGCCAGCATCTACACTCAATTTTTTGAGCGTTCTCCGTGACAGGTGAAGCCGGTACTGGCTGCCATTTTTGATGTTATGTTCGTTGAAATACGTTAAACTGAGTTGAAACAGAAATGCAGGAAGTTGAATGCTACGTGGCACCTAAACTTTTCACAAACCCATGGCATCATGTCACATTTTCCGCTAGTAGTTTTATCGGTCTTTCGGATTCGGCACACCTCAAATAATTATACAAGGCTTGAATAATCCGTATGAATACTGTATTTGATATTCTCTGACTGTACTGGGAGAAGGGAATACGTGAATACAGAGATATCCACCCACCCTTGAATATTGGAGAATTATAGCAGGAAAAACTGTATCGCCACGGTTACAACTTACAAGGCCATCGGCCGCAAACAAACAAAATACTATACAATGTGGGTTAGATTCACAAACATCATCAAGTGTGGAACACAGAGACGAGCAAAACAACATCACATTATCGCATGCCAGCCCGACCACATTGGAACCGGGTGACCTGCGACCGGAACCTGCGTCTTGCCAGCATACATCACAAAAGCAGGAGGCAGTGTCGTACCGCTTTGATCCAAAATATGCCATATAACAAATGATATAAACGACCTAAGCTCGGACTAAGCTAATTATTATCAAATCCTTAACATGTAAAGGACGAATGGAAACATCGAGTCTCAGACCAGCAGTAGCAACGATCACAGTAGCAACATCACAAAGAACACGCGGCATTATCAGACAGCCGTTTTGTTATCGGGCTACAGGCGGCGACGGCGTGGTTGCAGACCAGCTGCGAGGTAGCGGCGTGCGGGCAAAAGGCGCGGGCACACCTCCATGTGGCCGTGCAGACAGTGCGCGGTCGGCGTCGCATAGTGGGCGGCATCGGGCTGTCCCGGGCCGTCGAAGCCGCACAGGTTGTCGGCGCATGTGGGCGCGCGCGGTCACCACGGCCAGCTGCTCACCGCCAGCACAGACTGCGCAGCGTCGCCGCTCCGCCGGCCAGAACACGCAGACAACCCTTCTTGCAGTCGCACAACACGTCGCCAAACTCATTCACCTGCTCCACCATGTTGTTGATGTCACCGAGTCGTTCGAGTTGTGGCTCGTGCCGTCGAGCATGACCTGCCCGATCGGACACGGGTCAGCGGCTTCTGCTCCAGCGAAGTCTTCATCTTAGTGACGTCTTGCTGATCTCCACAAAGGCTGAGCAGATGACCTTACCCACAGAGACGGCCGACGTCCTCGCCAGCGACCGCTTGGTTGTGCAGACCTGCCAGAAAAAGAAAAGCTGTTTGGTGATCTCAAACGATTTTTTTCTTTATGCAGTGGAACAAAACGGAAAATATGTCATACAACAGGAACTAAAAAAAAGATGCAGCCTAGGTCGTCTAAGAAATGGGTGCAACATTGATAAAATTCTTCATTGAATGAATTCTGCAAATGCTTTTGATAAAATGTGTGGTGATTATATGGAGACCACTTTACTATAAAATTGCTCAGGATTCCCTATCTGGACCTGTCAAAAAATCCTGACTGCACACCAACAATGAGCATTAAATCCAAAACCTCTACCAGGTACCTAGGGATAATTAAATTCTGATTCAGGAAAATATTTCACATCATACAAATAAAAACCTTTACTATATTGAAACTGAAAATGTGATGCTGATCCAGTGACCTAGGGGTCTCAAAGTATAATAATGAATTAATCGATTATAAATTTGGTGGTGACTGCCGACTGGCGTCTGGCGGCCTAGACCTTGAGGCTTGAAAGTGGCCTTCCTTTTCCGTTGACTCCGATCCTCCAGATGGAAATGATATAAAGGATCATTTTTATCTTATTTCATATGAGCGAGCCAGTCAGCAAAGTGGCTATCCTGTTTCAGCATTCACCCACACAATAGTTGACTGTCAGTCTGTCATGCTGTCAGTGTTGTGAAGTAATGAAGGAGTTGAGTTTTGTTGATTATAAATTGTGATGTTATGTAAAGGACTGGAAAATGAATGTGAAAACTATGGAAACATATTGGCAGAGTATTGTCACTTACTATCAGGACATATGGATAGAGAATACATTCAAATTAATAAGAAATGCCAAATATCAAGGTACTCAATCACTGATAGCAGTGGACTATCATATGTTTTAATGTCAATTATATGAAAGTTAAGACTGAAACTACCTTTTACCTCATCATAACTAATGAAAAATTGTGTGAAGAAAACATTCACAGCCTCTTTGAAGCACTTAGACCACTAAAAAACAAAAATTTTCACGTAAATATGTTGTGTCTCCTTCCTTCAAAACATCATATCGGATGGCGCCACTTTCGTCGACAGTTACCTATCTGCACGCAAATCGAGGAAAACGTGAATTGATTGACGTTTACGTGTTTCCAAATTTAAAATCACAGCATATTCAAACTTTTCAGTGTACCTTTTAACATCTAAGTACAACTAAAACGATAAAAACTTACCCTCAACACAAGGACGACGACAACCACGCGACCGGAGACGTCGCGACGAAATAAACAAACGGCGCCGCCAAATGAAAAATATTCTCCGATATGGGTAATGTGAAATTGAATCGCAATCATTTTGGGTAGTATTAAAAATGCTCTTTCCAACAGAACCCTAGTAGGGGAAAGTGGGGTAAGACGGGCAGGGTAGGAAAGACGGGCACCGGCCCTCTAGCCTAAACCCGTGGCGCCACCTATGACAGCTTGCGTCGACTAACTCGCCCGACGCTCTTTTCTTGGCCGGCGAAGGCACGGGTACGTATTGTCCGTCGTATTTGAAATATTATGGAAAAACTAAAAACGTATGTTGCACTCTAAGAGTAAAAATATTATATCGTAACGTTTTCTGACTCTATTGCTGGATTGTTTTTGATGAAACTGTTATGCCAGCTTTGTTATCAGATCTGATGTTACTGTGTATGTTCGCGAATTAATCCGTCAATATGGCGCCCGAAGGCTGCGTGTTTTTGTTGTCGGCGACGAAATGGGGTAAGACGGGCAAAATATAAAAAATTGCCCGTCTTACCCCAGTCACTATTTTGATCAAGAAATTGTTTTGTAGTGCATTTGGCCAAATTGCTGGCTGTTTTAGCCAGGTCTAAAATCTCGAGCATCAACCAGAGCGTGCCTTGAGAGAGCATGAAGGCCGATGTCAACGTCGAGGTCAAATTAGGTCACCGTAATTAGCCTTCTTTGATGCGTCGCTCTCATGGCTGATAGCCACCCCCCTCTCCAGCCCCCCCAAGCGATACCCCTGACCACACCCCACCCTCCCCTACCCTCAACCCCTCTTAATTGGCACGCCGCCACAAAATTGCTGAGAACATGAACTTCAGAATCGGAACAGTTTGTGAACTTTTGGTAATCTACAGTTCAAAGTTCAATTGACATTGCTTCAGTTCAGTTCAGTTCACTGCCTCCGATTCGCTTTGAAAGTTCAGTTCAGTTCAATCTGTTCCCGCAAGAGCCAAAGTTCAGTTCAATTCATTTCGTAGTTCACATAGTTCAGTTCAGTTCACCGAAAAGTTCGTAGAAAATAGAGGGCCACTCATGTCCTTCGGGGGTCGGAAACCGGAGTCGAATTCGGAGTCGGCCGGAGTCGGAGTCGATTTTTTCTCAAGCCGGAGTCGGAGTCAGAGTCGTTGGGAGTCGGAGTCGATTTTTTCTCAAGCTGGAGTCGGAGTTATAGATGCGATATACCTACTTGTTTTCGTGAGACATGAGGGATCAAATTTAAATACAAAATACAATAAGGCGAGCGGACAAATGTCCTAGCTCACCTGCAGGGAGTACAGGGACGATTGTCCTTGTGTCCCTCTCTCGGCTACCTGGTACCTACCTTGGGACGTCGCTGACGGGGGTCGGTGTTGTCCTTAACCCTCGCCCATGTAGGGGGGGGGGGGTTGGTGCAACCCCCCCCCAGAGGTTTTTCGGAAATAGTGCAAAAACGGCGGCGCGCAGCGCCGCCAAATTTTGGGTACCTTATGGGGCAAACCTTGCGCACCTTTTGGTAAAAAAAAATTGACCAGGTCATGTCAGGTCACGGAGTTATGACGTCACAAAGGGAACAGCCTCCGGCCGGATTTTCACAAACTGAGTGCCAACACCCGAGGTTTCCTGCCGGTGGTACGGACATCGGTTGATGGATCGTGATGAAACTTCCCATGCATGTTGGGGCAAGTATTGGCCATCGTGTGGTGCAAGAAACTTGACCGGGTCAGGTCAGGTCACGGAGCTATGACGTCACAAGAGGAACAGCGTCCGGTGCTATTTCTGGCAAGTGCCGGTAGCTCTATATTGCTAATTCTGGTCACCTCAATGGGAATATGCAGCAATATTAGCTTCTATAGGGAGCAAATGGACCTCCCAAATCCAAAAATACAATCAGATTTCAAAAATTTAAATTTTGATTTTTCGAATTTCTGCCGCCGACTGTGACATTGCCGACTTCCGGTGCTCCCAACGCGCCATTTTTAGAGCTAGGATAACGAAATACATACCAAACGATAGAGAATTGATCAAGGAACACGATAGTGAAGGTTTCAAGTCAACATCTCTCACCGTTTTGCCGCAATCGCCGCGGAAAATTGAAAAAGTTCGATTTTCGGAAAATTTGACCTTTGACCGGTCAAAAGTAGGTCAAATGTTGACCTAGGACCAAAAAATATACCACCAATCGCGAGATCTCGGCGAGAGCAATCCGTTGGTCTTTTCCGCTAAGCTCTACGACGCTCCGTTTTCAAACGCCAAGGGGGGGGGGGTCGCACCAACCCCCCCCCCCCCCTGCATGGGCGAAGGTGGCAGATCGGCGTTTACGGGCGAGGGTTAAGCTTTCCTTTTTTACTAGAGCTACATAGACTCATAGAGCTACATAGACTCATACATAGAGCTCTGACAGCCCGAGCCGAGTTTCCCGCTCCTTGTCGATAATTGACTTTGCCACTTAACCTTCCCTTCCCGCTCTCCCCTGGCTTTCTTCCCACCCTAGGCTGTCCCTCTCGTCTGCTACCTGTCACTTACCTTGCCGGAGTGTTCCTATCATTCGTTTCCTAAAATACCTGCTCTCCTTTCCTCAGATACTTACCATGCCTCGATCGTACACGAGAAAAACGTCAAGAGGTCAGTGGACGAGGGCGGCGATGTATGCCGCGTTGGAGGACGTCCAACAAGGGAAGTCAACTCTAAAGGCTTCTAAGGACCACGGTGTCCCTCGAAGCTCCCTGCAGCGCCGACTGTCGGGACAGTGTCCACTGAAGGCGCCACTGGGGCCACGTAAGCCGGTCTTCACCCCACAGCAAGAGCGCCAACTGAAAAATCATATCATCGAGATGGAAAGGATGTTCTTTGGATTGACACAGACGGATGCTCGCCGACTCGCGTTTCAGTACGCGGAAAAGAACAGGCTGAACCACAGGTTCAAGAACGGCATCGCCGGAAAAGACTGGCTAATAAGCTTTTTGAAACGCAACAAGGACTTGTCGCTGAGAACCCCCGAGGCGACCTCAGCGGCACGCGCGAAGGGGTTCAACAAGGAAGTGGTGTCGAAGTTTTTTGACATCCTGGTGGAGGCCGGCAAGAGCGTGAAGGGGCCACACGTCGTCTACAATGTAGATGAAACAGGAATCACGACAGTGCAAAGCAAGCCAAGCAGAGTGCTGGCGCAGAAGGGAAGGAAGCAAGTCGGAAGCTTGACGTCAGCAGAACGTGGGGAGCTGACGACAGCGGTCGTTTGTATGTCGGCAGTCGGCAACTTTGTTCCGCCGATGATGATCTTGCCGAGGGCCAGAGTGAACAAGAACCTTGAGGAAGGCGCACCACCCGGGACCGTATTCGAATACCATCCATCGGGCTGGATGCAGACCGACATCTTCACCCGCTGGTTCCAGCACTTCATCCGCCACGCAAAGCCCAGCGCGGAAGAACCAGCACTGCTCATACTGGATGGACATATGACGCACACCAGAAATCTGGATGTGATCGAGATGGCCAGGGCCAACCATGTCACCATCGTGGTCATCCCACCTCACACGAGCCACCGCCTTCAGCCGCTGGATGTGGGCTTCATGAAGCCTCTGAACACCTTCTACGTCCAAGCCATCGAAAAGTTCTTGAGGCAGAACCCGGGCCGAGTGGTCACGCTGTACCAAATCGCCCGACTGTTCGGCGAGGCCTACCTGAAGGCAGCAACCCCGGCAACGGCGATCAACGCATTCAAAAAATGCGGCATCTTCCCCATCGACATGGACGTATTCGCTGAAGAAGACTTCAGCCCGTCTGACGTGACGCATCCGGTGCGTCCGTCAACACTCGCCGCAGAAGAGGAGGCATCGAGTCTTTTGGACGAGCCGACAGCCGGGCCATCCGGTCTCCAGGCCAGCGAGACGACAGCCGGGCCATCCGGTCTCCAGGCCAGCGAGCCGACAGCCGGGCCATCCGGTCTCCAGGCCAGCGAGCCGACAGCCGGGCCATCCGGTCTCCAGGCCAGCGAGCCGACAGCCGGGCCATCCGGTCTCCAGCCCAGCGAGACGACAGCCGGGCCATCCGGTCTCCAGGCCAGCGAGCCGACAGCCGGGCCATCCGGTCTCCAGGCCAGCGAGCCGACAGCCGGGCCATCCGGTCTCCAGGCCAGCGAGACGACAGCCGGGCCATCCGGTCTCCAGGCCAGCGAGACGACAGCCGGGCCATCCGGTCTCCAGGCCAGCGAGCCGACAGCCGGGCCATCCGGTCTCCAGGCCAGCGAGACGACAGCCGGGCCATCCGGTCTCCAGCCCAGCGAGACGACAGCCGGGCCATCCGGTCTCCAGGCCAGCGAGACGACAGCCGGCACTACCTCGGAGATCCGCCCGTGCGATATACTGCCACTACCTCGGGCAAATCTGCCGGCAACCTCTGCTGGTGCCAGAAGACGGACCACCCCGGTAGCTGGGCCAGCTATATTAACCAGTTCGCCTGTCAAAAGGGCCCTGGAGAACAGCCTGACGAAACGGAAGCCCACACAAAGCAAGAAGAAGAGGACCAAAGCTTGCCGAAAGGGGAGCGGAAAGGAGCGAGGAGCCTGCGCTGCTGAAGCCGTTGTTCCCTGTTTGTACTGTGGCGAGTCCTTTGGTGACTCAGTAGCGGGCGAGGGGTGGGCATGCTGCACTTGTTGCAAAAAGTGGGCCCATGATGAATGCGCTGGACTGGATGACAACGATGCCAACTACGTGTGTGAGTTCTGTGCTCCGTAAAACATCAGTGTGGACTGTGATTCACTGGCACTGCGCACAGCTCGGCGGAATGGCGCGCACGCGCGCGCGTTCATTGTGTGAAACCGACACCTTTGTCAACGTTTAGCTTAAATAAGTGTTCATGTTTTGGTTGGTGTGTTCAAGTTTTGCATCCGTTTGCCCGACTGTTGGGTTTTGAAATATATAGGCAGCTGCTGCTTTGTACTTGGTGTTTAGATAGGTGGAGGCGATTCTCCTATGGCTACTTAATTTCAATTTTCTGCAATAACTAGTAGACGGACACGTAGCGCCGCTGAACGCCATCACTGTGCACTGTGCAGCCGAAGCGGACACTTGACCCTCCCCCTTCCACGCCAGCGCGCTATCCCGACCCAGGCTAGGTCAGCTTATCGACCTTTCCAATGCCGAGTGAAACATTCACCATCGCAGATCGTACATTTTCCGAGCGGTAGCTCGCCGTGCGAAATACATAGTAAATAACATATTATGCCCGTCTTGCCCCCAGACAAAACCCGTCTTACCCTACCTAGTGGGGTAAGACGGGTTTTTGCAGTGTCTCGCTAAACATGTTATCATTTGAAAACTAATAGAGTTAGACCTTAGGTGTCAAAAGGGCAGCGAAAGAGAAATGTCTGAAGATGCCAGAGCCAAAGCGACAAAGCTATCAAAGCAATGACTTCAGAGATACAAGTCAACAAAACTAACATGCCCGTCATACCCCACTTTCCCCTAAAAAGCGTGAATGGACAAAAAATAACTTTTATTTCGACATAAATATTGGCCTGTTTTTAAGTCATCCTGGTATGTCGTAAGATTTCGACCTATAAATTGGTGTTCCCCCAATCATTGAAGCTTGAGCAGTGAAAAATATGAAAGCCTAATCTGTTTTGCATCATTAGTGATTCTCCTAGGGTGTTGCCATTTCTCCCTAGGTGTTGCGAGTTGCTTTTGCAAAACGTGTTCCTGAAACGGCTCAATTTTTTGAGCCCTCAGCATTACGCCTATGGGAGCCTCTGACGTCACACGCTCAATATTTTGAGCGCTCAATAATTTGAGCTTTTCCCCCTTGTGCGTGGGACTGATATTGTCGGAGCGGGAAGTTTCATTGCAGCATCGGTGCCTCTGCTGCGGTGTTCTGTGTCGATTGTTAAAAATAAGCCAAACAACTAATAATAAAAGACTCAACGCTTCTGGGTAACTCACTCGAAACATTCCGTTTACAGAATAGAGCTGGCTCCTTAGCATACCATATAGCTTTGTTTATTCATCAAGCTGCAAGCTCGGAGCAATAACACAGCTCTTTGCACTGCTGTTGACAACATACATTGCATTTGGACGATGCCTCGCAGCCTAAATATGCTGCTGCGCAACTCTATGCGAAAATTTATGAAGGATAGGAGGAGCTGCAGCAGGCTGCAAGGACAGAATGTGGAGACCTCGCACAGTCATTGGCCCAAGTTTTGGGGCATGGCTCTGACCAGCATCGGCGTCACCAATGTCATGCAGATTCGTTGAAGTGAAATGCTGAAGCAACAGGATTGACGTTTGTTTTACTTAGATTAGCAGTTCGAAAGAAAAGATAACATGTCTGGGAATGACAGGGTGGCCGCCCTGACAGTGTGACGAAATGAGAAGTGAGTAGAGACAATAGCGGAGTACACATACGAGTATAAGTCAATTGCGTCGCTCAATCCAGCAGCGGCACCGACAGCCCGGCCGTGCCTACCGGTGTCGTTCAAGACCCGAATCCAGAGCCGGCATTGAGCGCGACTCTGCCCCGAGACGTGACACATATCCCCGGCGTGTCATGACGGACAGACTTATGCTTGCAACCTCGACTGTTTGGCGAATGACGATGGCAATGTTTACTTTTCCTATTTCTAATTAATAACGCATTTAACAGATATCTACGCAATAAATGTATCGTGCTAATCGCAACACACCGACCTGGTTTTGTAGTAGGGTAAGGGCGGGTAAGAGTACGTGGGCGATAAGAGTACGCATAAGCTGTTTTGGTTGCTTAGCAACGCGGGCTTGTCGAGTTCATGAAGTGACATGAAGCCGCCAGTGCGTGCTTGTCACCAACGGAACGTGGGCGTTGAGCGGTGACGCTGTTGAGTTTAAGGCGATGAATATTATTTTCGAGCGTTATGATATTATTATGGTATGGTACAATAATTTTGATACTTGACAGTTGAGATAAGGTACATTTCCGTGATTGTTGTGGGAAACTTGTGAGGTTATCTGGGGAAATACTGTGCAGTGCAATATTCTGTTTGCGAAGTTTTGCACAACGTTTCGGGGTTGTTTTGTGCGCGAATTGCATGTACGGTAAGAGGACGCACTGTTCAGGAGGGTAAGAGTACGCAGAATTATACATTAAATCGAATATACAGAAATATGAAATTATTAATCTATCGCTCAATGACGTTTGTTTTGTAGGTATATCATCAATGGAGCACTGTGATGCAGATGCGTACCCGAAATTCTTCCAAATACGAGTTATTCTCCCTTTTGATTGTACATTTTTTTTTAAAGAAACACACGACATGATTATTTCCTGATTTATAGACTTCAAAGATTTATTTTATGTTTTTCTTTTTGGATACTAGAATTAACTTAAATGCCTTCTGAGTTTGAAGTCAAGCATTTGGACAGTACAAGCTGCATAGGTGTGTGTTCATATGCTTGCGTACTCCACCCGCCTGGCGTGCGTACTCTTACACACCCCAGGCGGTAAGAGTACGCAACTGCAGCGGTTCAGAAAATGTCAGTTTTAGACCACTTCCATTTACGCTGAAGGATCGTTGCCCCATGGGTTGATGGCTAATTCAATGAACTTTAATATTCCCTATTTGCGATTTCTTTCTTTCAAATATTAAACAAATGAGAGCAAGAAATCCATTAAGTGCGTACTCTTATACGACTTCACCCTAGGTAAAACAGACGATTGGAGATGTCTCGTATCGATGTGGCCATTAGAAGCCGCGGAAACAGGGCAGAGCCGTGCTCTTTGCCGGGTCTGAATACGAGTCTTCGTCGAAGTAGAACTGGACGCTGATCGCTTCTCGCCTCAACATGAGACTTAGAAATAGGTAAGGTATACTGTATACATTGTTGTATTTATACAGGCGAGGTAATGGTCTGTCTGTCGTGACACGCCGGGGATATGTGTCACGTCAGGGCAGAGCCGTGCTCTCTGCCGGCTCTGGATTCGGATCTTGAACGACATCGGACGGACATGGCCGGGTTGCTGGTGCCGCTGCTGCCCGAAGGGTTGGATTGAGGGGCGCTTGACTTGTATGTGCACTCCCGCTATTGTCTCTACTCACGCCCAACTTCGTCACAATGTCAGGGCGGCCACCACGTCATTCCCGGGCATGTCATCTTTTTTTTTTAACTGCAAATGTAAATTAAACCTAACGTCGATGTCGGGGTCTCCAGATTCTGTCCTTGCACCTTACCAGATCCTGCTGTTCTTAGAAAACTTCAATTTTCGCATACAGGCGTGGTTGCAGCGGTCGTGAAACACCGCGCTGTATTCTCGAAACGAGATGTTTCGAATAAACTAGCCAGAAGCATTGAGTCTTTTCTTAGTTCTGTTTGGCCTATTTTCTGAACCATCGACACAGAACACTGCGGCAGAGGCAACGATGCTGCACTGAAACTTTCCGCTCCGACAATATGGGCTAGTACACCCCTATCATGCCTATCATCATGTGAAAGAAGACCACGCATTCATTCCCTCCCACCACCGGCCGGCCGGCCGCCAGGTAGATGTCGTGGCGCGCGGTGCCGATAAGGCGCCTCCGCCCGCGCGCGGCAGCGAATTCTCGCCCTTATTGACACCGGCCGGTCGCCGGGCGTAACATCCTCCTCTTCAAGCCGTTTGGGGAGCATGAAGCAGTTAATATTTTTCGGAAAAAAGGGCATCGTTGGACTCAGAAAAGACTACCTCACCACACGAACCATGAGCCCGTATACTTTTCCAAAATTCGGTTTTTTTGAACAACCCTAATAAACAGGCCTCGGACGTTATGGGACGGTAGGACTGAGACTCCGCCGAATCGTCATAAACCGTGGGCAAGGCAAGGCCGTATAACAGGGACAGGGGACGGCGATCCTCGCCGCTCGCCATGGGCCTAACAACCGTAGGTATCTATTGGTGTCTCGAACAAACGACATTGGGCGGGAGTTATTTCACACGAAAATTAGTCAATTTGACATGCAGACCAAGTGCCTACCTATAGACCGCCACCTTATCGATCTGCAGCTATCGTTGTTTATCGGGCATACACATTAACAGGCAGGATTGAACACCTTGAGATGCAACATCCAGTAAATGGTAGGTGTTTACTGTTTGCAACTGCCTCCCAGTAGCTCCACCCTCACCTGGCCTGTGTCCTGTGTCCTCTGGCGCCTCGACTGGTATCACGGTTGGAGGTCTGAGTCACGTGGCACTACAATTTCTCGTTAGCACTTAAATTCTTGTTTGCACGCAGAGAAATTCGTATACACTCCGCCAGGCTCAAGCGCTCTTGCTGGACTGTCCTCGCTGTCCCCACAAAGAGAAGATCCACAGGCCATTTCTTCCCCCGCTCCCCCTCCCCCTCTTTAGCGTCAGTTCGTCAAAACAACACCTGCGCCCCCCGTCTCTCTCTCTACCTACTCCTTCCCTCTCTCCCTCCCTTTCATCCCGAGCCGCCGCGCGCGTTCGCCGCGCGCCGCGTCGTCCCCTAGAGCGATAAGATGCCTTATCAGTATCCCCTCCTTTTTTATCTCTACCGCCTATCCCGAGCCGCCACGCTAACTCAGGGTGTCTGCGTTGTTCCCTTACCGCTTATTAGACACCCTATCACTGAGTAAGACATAGGGCCTGTTCCAGCGCCTCCAGTAGAAATTCTTGACTGGAGGCTCTACCAGAGGTTTCACTGGAGGCGCTGGAACACAATCTGGACATTTCTGGAGATTGGCATCACAGATATCTAAAGAATGACGATTGTTCTCTCTTGAAACGCAAAATTTGTTTTCAATTTTATTAAGACAGATTAACAAAATTATAGCAATGTAATTTTCTTTTCATTCAAGTTGTAAAATAATCAGTCAAAAGTCCTTTGTTTACATTCGTGATTGTCACATGTGCGCCATAATTGTAGACCAGAGCCT